CATTGCCTTATAATGCTTGATTTGATTATTCTTATCCCATTTGATATTTGATGTGAGTTTGCTAGCATGGTTATTCAAGTAGGTTGTTGATTCCAAGTTTGGGGGAGACGTCTTTCGAATTGGATCATGACCGGGCTTCATGTCTACACCACCACGGTATACTCCTTCCACTTTTTTTTTTCCATTATTCTCATTGCACATTGAGGACAATGTGCGGTTTAAGTTTGGGGGTAAGGTGTCTTGCTGCATTCTACTTAAGATTTGAGCTTTAAATGCATGATTGAGATTTGAGATTGATGTTAGCTATGATTTTGATCTTTTGAGGACTATATTGCTTAAAATTTAAAATTGCTTGACTTGAGAGTCCAATACTCCTTGTATGCCTTGAGGATGCCATTTAGGAGTAAATTTTTCAAAAAATTGATATCTTGCTTGCATTTGTGGTCCACATCATCCTGAATTTGTGATTGTTTTGAGATTCATTCTAGGATTCTACACTAGCACCGGTGCACACTAGCATTCATTTGTGGGATACATGCTTTGTTGATTATTGAATTGGTTATATCCCAATTGGGCTAGTAGTGCATTGAAAACTTTCATTCTTGATAAAGGTAGATAACAACCCATTTTCATTGAGTAGCCGGGATTCTTGCCTCATTAAGCAGTGAACTTCTCACGCCGAAAGGTGGAGGGCCCAAACTCTAGGTTAATAATTGATTATTAAAAAAAAAAAAAAAAGTTGCAAAAGTAATAAAAGTGAGGACTTCTCCCAAAAGGTGAGAAGTAGGAAATGATTAGATGGTTGTTGTCTTGATTTGTAGCCTAGTTGATTTGAGTTTGTAAGTCCGTAGGGGTGTCTTAACACCTAATGCCCTAAAGTCATCTGGTTTGGGAGTCATTGACCTAAAGCTCGCTACATGAATCTTCTAGAAAGCTTAAGAGATCAACACATTGCACAATATTTCCATCTTTGATCCTCAATAAATAAAAAAAATAAAAAAAAAAAGAAGAAGAAAAAAAGAAAAAAAAATAGAGTGAAAAGAATAAGCGCACCTAGAACAATAAAGCTTTAATAAAAGGTCCACTTTTTGTCTTGATGATTGGGACTAGATTTGTGTGCTAGTTTGAGGGTAAGGATGTGATTACTTCTCTAGTTGGCTAAGATAGCAACACACTTGATGCCGGACCTCTCACATGGATTCTAGACTTGTTTCGATTTTCATGATCATTTTCTTGATGTGTGGAAGACCATGCTTGTTTGTTTGATGTTGAGATTTTGGGAGATTGCTTGGAAACGATTGAAAAATTGCATACTTGAGGTAGTTTTCTCCCAATGCTTGTTTGCAATATTAGTGCCTCTTTTGAAAGAATGAGCTTAATGTTTGTGGGTACCATTTTTGGAAACCCTTACGAGACTTCACTCGTCCACTAGGGGTAACCTAGGGTTTTAAAAGGCTTGTTGCATATGCTAAATGCAATCGTGTTCCCTACGAAAATGGTGTTATCATTTTACTTGCTTTCTAGTTTATACTTGTTTAGTTGTTCATTTCATTCCTTTACTTCTTAGTTCATTGCTAGGGACTAGCAATATTTAAGTTTGGGGGTGTGATGAGCACCGAAAAGTGCGCATTTAAACCCGTTAAGCTTAAGCATTCTAGTACCTTTATCTATCTTACTTTGCCGGTTTAGACTTATTACGTGTTATTTATATTTTCAGGCACTAATCCTAAAATTGAGCTAACTCAGCCAAATAAGAGCTTAATTGAAGCAATCCTGAGATAAACCAAAGGAAGGAGCAAAGTGGAGAAAGAAAAGAGCAAAAAGGAATTAAGTTGTGCAGCTGAAAAGTTCGATCGATCCAACTTAGAGTTCGATCGATCGAACATCTATGATCGATCACAGTACTTCTCGATAGATCCAACCTTGGCCTTTGCTGAAATTCCAAGTTCGATCGATCGAACATCACCTTTGATCGATCGAACCCTATTTTGTCCTATTCAAATGATTGATCTTATCCACAGCTGTACGCCTACCAACCACTTTTGTCCTTTTCCCCATAAATATCTTCGAAATATCTCAGCCTTGTCCTTATCCGGAGGAGTCAGACCACTTCGATCGATCCAAGATGCAGTTCGATCGATCGAACCCATCTTCGATCGATCCAAGTTAAGGTTCGATCGATCGAACTTCCTCCAGTGAGAAAAAGTTAAAGTCCAGCTCATTTATTCCGTCATTCATCCAATCATTGGAGAATATGCCTTGCACGACCACAGCTCATCATAGGGTGTATTTGACCTACCTATATAAGGAATATGATACACTTTTTGGAGAGGGCTCTTGAGTCTCTTGTCACACATTGAAAATCATCTTGGAGGCTATTCTTGGAGAGGAAGAAGGGAGGAAGCTAGAGCAACCATTGGAGGAGATCTTCACCAACAAGGAGCAGCCATGGAGTTAGCCCTTAAGGGTTGGATCATCACTACCATGAGTGGCTAGACATCCTCTTGGGGCTAGAGTTAGCCCCAAGCATACTTTCTATACTCTAATCTTGTGTATAATTGAGGGATTAGTGTTGTATGATACATCTTAATATTCATGTATATATAAATCTTGATTATTTCATGGTTTGTATGGTTTAATGCTTCCAATTGACTATTCTATTCTATCCATATGTCTATGTATGCTAGAGTAGGATATTCATGTGCTTATCTCTAGATTTAGTGTTTTTGATGCATGTCTATGTGTATTGATGCTATAGATCTAGAGATTATCAAGATGATATGCTTAATGAATGTTATTTTGGTTCATTTGATGGTTTATGCCTATTCTTGATGGTTTGTGCCTCTCCCCTAGTCTAGATAGCTTTATTTTCATGCTAGTAGTGTAGATTTAGTGTAGTGGTAGTGTAATGTTAGATGGGAGGACAATCTACTCTTGATGTTTGATGTTCCATGCTTGTGAGTCCAAATGGCATATTCCTCTAATATTGTGTTGTATGTGGATTGTGAGCTTAATGAAGGATTAATGACTAGTTATGATATGTTGTATCTTTCACATGTGTTTAGACAATTTATTCCTCTCCCAATAGATATTTTGTACCTCTCACATGATGTTTAGATAATGCATGTTTAACTAAGTCATCCTTATGGATTGCTTGGACTTTGAGCTTAATGAAAGGTTCAATGACTTAATTTGATATTTTGTTCTCTTCACATGATGTCTAGACAATATATTCCTCTACCAATAGATGTATTGTGGCCTCACACATGTTGATTGAGACAATTTGCACTTGTTGAGTCACCTTTACTAATTGAATGTCTTTTACACACACAACATTGTTGCAACACATTCATTTCCCTCATTAGTCACTTGATTATGGTTTGGAATAGTATTGTTTGGTGGTGATCTCCACACCCCAAGACCTTTCCTTCTTACTTACTCTTTATCTTATTGCATTGCTTTATTATAGTTTAGCTCATTTAGTATAATCAACCAACCCAACTCTCTTTTGCAATCATTTGGTACGCTAGAGTCGAAGTTGAAATTCCAACACGTATAATCCCTTGGGACGATCCCTACTCACTCTTGCTACGTTAGTAGTGGTGTTGGTAGTGGTTTTTATAAATTTAAATTTGACATAAAAGGCTTTTCTTGAACCACACATTCTTTACATTCAGTTTGGCGTATTGGAACGGCCGTCGTCAACTGCATCAAGGCCTTAGGCTATTTCGGACGACCAAAATAAAAGCTTAATTCATTTCGGCCGACCGAAGTAAAAATGTAAAACAGGTTCAGGTTTTTTTCGGATGACTGAAACAAATTGGTGATTCATTTCGGTCAACCGACTTAGCACAGATTCAAATTTAAAGAGCTATATTACTTCAAACTGTGTGTCCAACAGCTAGAATACATATCAGATTCATCTAAAACTTTATATAATGAGTTATTGTCTTCATAAAAGGTGATTGCAATATTTGAGAAATATATTCTTGCAATCAAAGAGCCTTTGTCCTACCATTCATACACTTCATATCATCAATGGAGTATTGATCTTCAATCTATTCATACAAACTCTAGAGTGCTGAAATTTGTACTGCAAATCTATGAGAGATTATCTTGTACTGTATTTTTCTTCTTTAAACTTTGTAAGGGCTGGTGTGGCTCCAAGGAAGACTAGGAAAATGTGTTTCTCTTAGTAAATTGAAGCAAGGAAGTGCTTCTTGTTAAAGGTTTGCTCTCTACTCGTAAGGAGGAGCCATAGTGGATTGGAAAGTCTCAAGAAGAGTCTTGAGCCGAGGAGTAGGAGTTTCCGAACCTCGCTAAAATCGCTGAGTGCATGTTTGCAATCTCTTTCTTTTTATCTCTTATATTTATTGCTTAAAGTTCAACATGTATGATCACTAGATAAAATGATATTTCAGTTGCTTAAAACTCTGTTTGTTTCATTGAACAATTGTTGAGAAAATTAGCTTAATACTTGCATTCTAATTGAAATCGAAAATTGATCATTAATAGCCAAGACTCTATTCAACCCTCCTCCTAGAGTCATTACTTGGGCAACATTTCATTTTATAATCTGGTTGTTTAAATATTAATTATTTTGACATCCCTTTATTTTTGAGTGTGGACTTGATCATCCCATATCTCTGAAATTATGGGTATCATGTATAGGTTTACTGGGGCAATACTTATACACTTACCCCACATACTCAGCTATATATACCCCCTTGTAATGTTGTATTAAATATGTCATATTTTTTTTTTTTTTCAAAATTTATTAAATATGTCATATTTTTTTTTCCAAAATTTATTAAGTATATCATATATATATATATATTTTCAAAATTTATTAAATATGTCATTTTTTTTTTTTGGTTTTTTTTTTTTTCAAAATTTATTAAGTATGTCATATGAATACAATACAATACAATACATTCTGTCCCTATACTTCTAACACAAAGGCCGTACCAAATTAGCGTTTTGGATGTGAAAAAAAAAAAAATTTAGTACAAATTTTAAACTAAAATTCATCCCATCCTAATGCCAATGCATCAATCCGGCCTTCTAAACATAACATTCGTACATACAAAATCCAACACTTTGATCCTTGATACACAGAGTCTAAATGACAAGGTTTGGCAAGAACCGGAAGGTGGCGGTTAAAATCAGTGGATATTTAAAAATTGTAGTCAGACACATTTAGAGAGAGGAAGAGGGAAAAAGAGCGTGTTTTTTTATTTTTATTTTTTTATTTATTAGTGACAGCCATGAAAAATCGCAAGAAGAGGTCCCCTTTGTTCCAGCAACCAATGCCGCCTCCAATTCCGCTTAATTATAAAGCCATAAAATCCTTCTCTCTCTCTTGCTCTCTTTCTCTCTCTCTCCACGCCGTGCATGGTTTCAATCTGAAATTCTGATTACGTCAATCATATATATATATTTGATATGTGATTCACTGAATCAGAACCGTGTTCTCCACATTTTTGACGCTCTTCCAGGGTTTATTTTTGTTCGATATTGTGTTTATTACATGAGTAAGTTACTGAATTCACAAGAAAGATGAGATTTGGTTCAAATGAATGTGGTTTTAGTGAGGATCAAATGCAGGAAGGAACGATGCAATTCCCCAAACTTGATGATTCGCCCATGTTTCGGCAACAGGTATTATTATTATTATTTATTTTTAATTTCTTTTGATTTGCAAAATATTACTGATTCTTGTAATTTTCAATGTATTGCATTAGATCATAAACTTATATGTATATGCGTGTGGAAGGTAGATTGTTATTGAGATCCAGAATTTAGACGTACACTATCACCCTGTGGCAGTTACTTAAATTGGTTTATTTTATTTTATTTTTGCATAAACTGACAACCAGTAGTTTATTTGTTCTTATGTGGTGTGCTATCAATACCTAGTGGATGAGTAGGTGTTGTCTCTTTATATTGTAATTATAGTTGTTATGTTAATCAAGTCCCCTATTGTCAAATTTTGCAACAAAATTTGACAGGAATCTTCCTTGGTGTGCAAGTGCCACATTTTATATCATATTTATAGTTTAATGCATTTGTGATAATAACTAAATATTATTAGCTGGTCCGTTTGCCAATCTTTTATTTAATTTGTTCAATGTTGCTGATCATACTTCGATGTTTGTTTATGCATTCTTACCGATTGTATAAAATGGTGCAGTAATAACTACCAAGCTATTTAACTCGGCTCCCATCCCACTTTAATTCCCTTTTACACGGAGGGGGTGGGGGATTCAAGGGTCATAAACCTTAAACCCAGTAATGGACTCAGAAATTTACACTACGGGACTGAGAGAGAGAGAGAGAGATAATAGGCTGATTCATAGTAAAGGAGTGAAAGATTTTGATGGGGGAAAAGTTTATAGGGACTACGTTATAATTATGGTAAAACATGTATACAAAGTTTAAATAAATAAAACATTGAATTGGGCAACTGCCTTAACAAATAAATAAAACATTGAATTGGGCAACTGCCACTGGGCTTCATGTGGCCCCGTCTCTATTTAGTCCAATGGACTCAGAAATTTACACTACGGGACTGAGAGAGAGAGATAATAGGCCGATTCACAGTAAAGGAGTGAGAGATTTTGGTGGGGGAAAAGTTTATAGGGACTACGTTATAATTATGGTAAAACATGTATACAAAGTTTAAATAAATAAAACATTGAATTGGGCAACTGCCTTAACAAATAAATAAAACATTGAATTGGGCAACTGCCTTAACAAATAAATAAAACATTGAATTGAGCAACTGCCACTGGGCTTCATGTGGCCCCGTCTATATTTAGTCCATACTTCACTGAAGTTTGCATAAATTTCTAATTGCTTTTTAGCATCCTAAATTTCTTTTGGCTTGCTTTTTTGAATTTATATGTCATGTTTCAATACAATTACCAAGATTACTTGGCATTCTGCTTAAATTGCTCTTTTGTAATTGTTTGTACATAGCTGCTGATTATCCTCTACGAGAAAACTGGCAATATTGAGGAATGCTTACAACTAGGTTGACCAGACTTTAACCCAATAATCAAGATTTATACCTTAGGGCTGTTCTTTAATGGCTTCTTCACCCCAAAATCTTCACTTATATGACCTTAAGGACTCCACAAGCAATGGAAGAGTCGGCTCCAAAGAATAGGTGAAATACTTAGAGAGAGAATATAAGACTAGGGTATGTAGACAACTTTTATTAAAACAATAATGCATAACCCATATATATAAAGGTAGAGGGGAGTGGGCCGTGTCAGAGTCCGGATTTTTTTCTAGTGGGGGCAACTTTTAATAGTACTATAATAAAAAATTCGAATCAAAATAATAAATGTAAAACTTAAGCATAATATATATATATATATATATAATTATCCTCAACAAGTTTTCATGAACGGAAATTGTTGAATTGATGGTAGTTTCATTGTCAATGCTATTAAATATGTCTCTCTCAATATACACAAACATCATTGACGAGAAAAAAATCCACCCAACGTTGACCAGCGACGACTAACCAAGATAGCTATGTAGTCCGTTTCAACTCCTAACTTCCAGGGAATAGAGATGATGATAACTTATATTCAAAATGGCGATTCAATCAATTAGTTGGGAAGGATGAGGTTGGTCGGTGAATAAAGGTTAACCTAATCTACACAAACGACATTTGATCAATCGACTTGACTCCCAATGCAATAATAAATAGAGTGGAGGGCCATTAAATGAGGTATAAGAAAAGTCTTGAGTATTTAATACAACTGTATATTACTCCTCTCTAGGTATGTAACAAGTTGGATCCGCAGAGTTGGGCCTCGGTGTACAAATTCTATCATGTGATGCAGGTTATGAAAGAAAAAGGTCCCGCCGCCATAGATGACTTGGTGCAGACCACCAGCTTGCCGTTCAGTTATGCTATTATGAAATGCCCACTGCTAAAGCAAGTTCAAGATGCCCTTGATAGAAAGTTTCGATGGGACCAAACCACCTGGAGACCTTCCAAGCTCTTATGCATCTACACTCTATGCCGGATGAAATCATGTGCCGAGCCTTTTTCACAACCCTCAAAGGATCAGTGCGAGTATAATTCAATAAGCTGAAATCCGGAACCATCGAGATCTTTGAAGAATCGAGTAAGTAGTTTGTAGGCCATTTCATCGGAGACCAGAGGCATAGGAGGCCAACTACCTATTTGCTCACTATGAAGTAATAGAAGGGAGAGTCACTACGAGATTACATTAGTTGATTCAATACAGAGATGCTACAGGTGGGTGGACGAGAAGGTGGCCTTGACCTCCTTTATGGGTCGACTACATACTTCGAGATTCCTCTTCTCTTTAGCCAAGGAGCCCCCTGCTAACATGGTCGAGTTGTTGGTCCGAGCTCGAAAGCACATGAACGCTGAAGATGCAATGAGTGCGGGAAAAGAGGGAAACGACAAGAAGCCAGACAAGAAGAGGCCTGCCGAAATCAAGTGTAAGAAGTCCTTAGTAAATTAGAATGAAAAGACATCTCGTTACTGGAGTGTAGAGAGCTATGCTAACTAACACTCCTTTAAACATGTCGATATATCAAACTTTCCTATAGATCCAGGACAATCCATCCCTGAAGTGGCCGCCGAAGTTGAAGTCAGATCCAGCAAGGAGGCCTCGTGATAGGTACTGTAAGTTCTAGGGACCATGGGCACACCATAGAAGACTGCATAGATCTCAAGGATCAAATTGAGAGTCTGATCTGAAGGGGTCACCTGCGAAGGTTAACTGCGGGGAATGATAGAGACGGTACTAATCCCCCGAGGGGAGGCCGAGACAACTGTCCCCCCGAATAACAACCAATGGGGGAGATTAAGGTCATATCCAGAGGATATGCAAAAGGCGGTGAGTCGAGCTTGGCCCACAGGGCTCACTCGAGGAGAGCGGGAAGCGTATTTGAGGTATACGAAATCGGAGCAGAGACTCCACCCCCGAAGTTGCCCCGTCTGGAAGGGCCTGCCATCACATTCTCTGATGAAGACGCTAAGGGGGTGCAACAACCCCATGAGGACCCCCTAGTTGTCACCATGATGATTGCTAACTACAACATCCGACAAATCCTGATTGATAATGGAAGTTCAGCTCACATCATTTTCTTTGATGCGTTCGACAAGATGAAGATTGGTAAGGAGAAGCTTAGGCCCACTGGATCACCACTGGTGGGATTCTCAAGGTCTATCCCCTAGGAGAAGTTACTCTTTCAGTAGCCGTAGGAACCAACCCAAGATAGGTTACTGTTACGGTGGATTTCCTGGTGGTGGATTGCCTCTCTGCATATAACATCATCCTAGGGAGGACAACTTTGAACTTGATGAAGGCCATTACCTCGACTTATCATCTGTTAATGTGATTCCCCTTAGAGCATGGTGTAGGCGAGTGGAGAGGAGACCAAACCATGGCCAGGGAATACTACGTTGCATCCCTTAAAGAAAGGAAGAACTAACAGATTGATTGTTCAGGAAATGGATGAAAGGGAGCGAGATCGAGCCATGCCAATTGAGGGCACGGTGGAAATTAGCCTAAATGACAATGATGTGGCAAAAAAAGTGAGTGTAGGGTCTTTGCTCCTCTCAGACTTTAGGAATGATCTTATTCAGTTCCTCAGACATAATCAAGATGTGTTCGCATGGTCATATGAGGACATGCCAGGCATTTATCCAGCCACAATGGGGCATTAGCTGAATGTAGATCCCACCTTCAAGCCTATCAGACAGAAGTGAAGAACCTTTTCCCTGGAAAGGAACTAGAAGAGATCGACAAACTTTTGAAAGCTGACTTTATCCAAGAGGTGCATTACTCAGACTAGTTGGCTAACGTTGCCATAGTAAAAAAGGTGAATGAAAAATGGAGGCTATGTGTGGACTTTACCGATCTGAACAAGGCATGCCCCAAAGACAGTTTCCGTCTGCCAAGGATCGATATGTTAGTAAAGGGAATGGCTGGCCATGAGTTGCTCAGTCTTATAGATGTATACTCAGGGTATCACCAAATCCCCATGCATCCACTAGACAGAGGAAGACATTGGATGAGAGAAAATCCATCCAACGTTGACCAGTGACGACTAACCAAGATAGCTTTGTGGTCTGTTTCAACTCCTAACTTCTAGGGAATAAAGGTGATGATAGCTTATATTCAAAATGGCGATTCAACAAATTAGTTGGGAAGGATGAGGCTGGTCAACAAATAAATATTAACCTAATCTACACAAATGATAATCGACTTAAATCCTGAGCCAACAATAAATAGAGTGGAGGGCCTTTTTCAGCAATCTGCTGAGAGCCTCTATCACAAAAAGGAAAAGGAAAGGGGAAAGCGGATCCCCTTGTCTTAAACCCCTCAAGCTAGAGAAAACCCCCGTTGGAGTACCGTTCACAAGGATAGAGAAGCGAGCACTAGAGATACAAAAAAGAATCCATCTCCTCCACCGACTGCAGAACCCCATCCTCTCCATCAAGTAAATGAGAAAGCTCTAACTTACATGGTCGTACGCCTTCTCAATGTCCAGCTTGCATAAAACACCCAGAACCCCACTGCTTAACCCGGAGTCCACACATTCACTGGCAATAAGAACTGAATCCAAAATCTGACGACCTCCCACAAAAGCATTCTAAGAGT